GCTTTCAAAATTCCACTGATCCCTTTCAGGCTTTAAATCCTAAAAAGAAAAACAAAAAGACCATTCTATTTATCTTAGAGAATTAATTTTGGCAAAAGGCAACTGCCTGGGTATTTCAGAATGATGCATGCGCTCCTCCAGCACAGCAAGATGAGCCCAGAGAGAAAAGCTTTCAGAAAGGAAGCTGCTCTTGAGGAGGAAAATAAAAATCTAAATAGCCTCCTCTCAAAAGTCTTAGAGAAAATCAAAGTAGGACACAGAACCAATTATTATGTGCACAAAATGGGGCTTTTTGCTACCCATCACCATTGAACGGAGAAATGCAAAGGAAACACCTCATGAACAACATTCCGGCTCTTGCTCATGGCCTGGGATGCTGTTTCTGTGCTTGCAGATTGTTTAATTACAGATATTGGCTTGTTCATGACCAGACCACCACTGGTTACCTACTGGGGTGTCTTTATTAGGGTCTCCAAAAGAAGTCTGTAGACAAATGGATCTATGGCATCAGAGGGGTATGGGTGAATGGGGAAGCAGAGGGTCCACGAAAATTGTAATGGAAACACTTATCTGAACAAATCTTGTTGCACAGGGAATGAAAATGGAACACTGAGACACAGCCTGAATGGCCAGCTTTTGGGTGAGTTTCCTTGCTCTCTTTCCTCTCTCTGCTCCATAGGAAATTAAGGCCATCTCTGGACAGCTCACTAATCTGAGGTTTCAATCCAAGAGTTGGACCAACCACTCACTGCCACCAGAACTCCACATGATCAGATCCCAGCTCTGGCTTCAGATAGTTTCCTATCTGTCTTCACACAACAAAACAGTGTAATCTGAGATACAAAATTAGGCCAACCTGTGATTGACTTGCAGGGGACTTTCTACTGACATCTTAGGTCCCTGGTAAAACCTGGTGGCAAAGGGGACGGCAATTTCTTTTAGCCCTGTCTGCAGGCTTTCAATCTCCTGTAGCGTCTATTTATGATGCAGAGAAGAGGTAGTCTCTTGAAAGTAGGCTTCCAACAAGCATGACTTAAAGGGTAAGTTTGTCAACCTTTTCAGCAGTAGAGAGTAAAGACATTTCTTTGAGTTTTGTTTCCTAATAATTCCCGGGTTTGTATCCTGACTGATCCATAGGTTCTAGAGAAGGATGAATTGTTAAATTCACCCATTTCCCCCCCACCCATTTATTTAAACAGGTTCATCATGACTACCATATAGGCATTTCACTTGTTATTTGTTACTAAAAAGTAGAACTGGATTCTTCACCTAATTCTATTATTCAGCTTCTTCTCTATTTCAAAGTGGCTTCAAATTGAATAAAACCAGGAGCTGAAGTTTTAGTGTTTAGATAAACATAAAAATTGTTAGATTTGTTGTTGAAATTTATTATGGAAAACTTTAAAGTAGTTGTAAATAACTTTAGATTGTGAGCTTGCTGTGTTAGTATTTTAACCTGCCTTCCCAGCATCATTTTGTATTGTTCCATGTCTAAATCATGCAAAAATTGTAAGTTCCGGTCAAACTAGCTCCTTGCTTTCCCTTGAAGGAGACACAGTACAAATTATTAATCAGAGGACAGCCATCAGCCACAGTCTGTGTTTTTGCTCACCCCCTGCTTGGCAGGCCTGCCTCCTATTTCTACCTGGCAAGATCCTGCTCACTCCACAGGCTCAACACAGGGCTGTCTTCTTTATGATCTTTCCAACAGAAGGAGTTCTTTTCCATATTCGAACCCCCACAGCATATTCTCACCTTCATCTCATCTGGTAACATTCACTGTGATTCTTTATTTGTATATCCCAGTCCCCTATTTCTTAAGATCTGGATTTCTATCTTACTGATTATTGTATCAACATATGCCATGTCATATAATAGGGACTCTATGAATAATTGCTGAATAAAATTTTGTTTTCCTTCAGTCTGCTCATCCATCCATCCATCCGACATTTATTGAATACCTACTATAYACCAGGCACATACTTAGTGAAATCCAGTTTAAAGAGTATCTACAATCTGTGACATTCAAGTCTTGTTATTTCAATACTTTGCCATAGCCTTCTACTTCTATATTTATTGAGTTGCTCACTTTTGTGTAATTTAATAGCAGCCTCACACCCTTTAGAAACAACACAGTACCAATAAACAAATAAAGAACTTTAAAAAATCAAGTAACTAGCTCCAAACCACAAATCCACACACTGAAACGTCACTGGAAGAACTCTTGCTGTAGAGAAAAAATCAATAAAATGTAGATCTTCCATGAACCCTTTTCAAGGGAAATGAGTTTCTAAGTTAATTATTATATGTTCTTACTTCTAATGTGTCCCACAAACATGGTGTTCAGAAATCTGATTAGAAGGCCCTGATATATTAATTCTAGTGGTTGATGGTATATGACAATTGCATTGTGAAATCTGGGATCATTTCCCAAGCTGGGAAACATGAGAAAAACATGTCTACATGCCTTGAAAACTTTCCCTACCATTTTAATTTTTATTTTTGAGCCAAGATTACCAGGATACAAATTTTTTTTGCCATCAACATAGGGATCTTCCCAGGTAGTAACTCTGAGAACCCTTCTAATATCCTTGCTTTCATTAGGATGCTTGTAGCTAYAAGAAGATTTCCTATCACCTTTTAAAAAAAGGAGAGCAAGGCTTAAAATACATAAAGATACTGTTTTGGAAAAATGACTTCTGAAATGTGAGTGGCTCATAGGATCTGTACAAAATCAAGACCAATAGTGTTAATTAAAGCTTGTGTTTTCTTGTGCTACAGAAATTGCATATACCTGTCATCTGGCTAATGCTACTTTAATACCTAAATGTCACCAGTAAGAGGAAATTATTTACCCACATCCTCACTTGGGTAAATTGGTTATTTTGGTTATTTTGCATTCGTATTTCTCTTGAGTGTATTTGATGATTATCTAGATGTATATCAAGCTTAACAGATTCTATTTAAACTGAGAAGATTCCTTGAGCTGTAAAACCAACTTAAAACTTTGTTTTCATGAAGACTACCCCATAGTTAGTTTACAGTAAATCCCCAAGGATATATGTCACAAACCAGATCTTCTCTTTATGGTTAAGCTTAGGGAGGAGAAAACAGCACTGTCAAGCCTACATTAAAATACAAAATGAACACAGACAGCTGGCATTCTAAACAATTAATATGGAGAAATAAAAAAAGAAGATCTAACAGATTGTTGTGTTTGAATTTAATGGTATACTTTGGCTAGGGAAATGAAATGCAATTTATCTAAAGGCATATTTTTAAAAAACCTGGTTTCAATTKATCTTTGTTATGTTAAAGCCTGTTCACCAGTCATGAAGACTTATGTTTGTTTGTTTCATCTACATTTATCAGGCTCCAGAGCTGCTCCTCCCTGGATTGTAATCTTCCAAGGGCAGCTGTTGTAATTGTCATGCCCATGGTTAGCACTTGGTATATTCTCAATCACTGTTAGTTGATTGAAGAAAAAAATTGGACTTTGGCCTTTTTTCCACAACCCTAAAGCATTGCCAAAAAGTCATGAGCCTCAAATTTCAATAAAGAATAGATTTGCTGGGTGCAGTGGTGTATGCCTGTAATCCCAACAGCTTGGGAGGTTGAGGCAGGGGGATTACAAGCTCAAAGCCAGCCTCAACAATTTAGTGAGATCCTGTCTCAAAATTAAAAAATAAAAAGATAATAAATAAATAGGGCTGGGCATGCAGTTCATTGGTTGAGCTCCCTTGCCCCTGGGTCCAATTGCTGGTTATATATTAAAAAAAAAAAAAAGACTTAAATGTTAGTTGATGTGTTTTGGTAAACTTTCGGCAAGATGATAAATTGAGGAGACAGAGGGCAAAGAATTTTTTCCTCCTTTCAGAAAATTCTCATGAAGATTTTAGCATATACATCTCAACTCTGCCATGGGAATCCTTGCAGGGTTAAAGTAGAATTTACAGCCTTTGTTGTTGTTGTTGTTTTCCTTGTTGCAAATTCTCTCATCTATCCTATTTCTGAGAAAATTCTTTTAAGAACCCCTCTGTGGCCCCAATTTACATCTAATCTGGTAGATATTTTGCTGGAATTTGATGAAACTGCTTTGGGAAATAATAGGAAAAATAAAAGTGGGTTACCCCAGAGGAATAAGGTTCCGAAGTGCAATGTGATCTCAYGGAATGCAATTACCTAAGTGGATGTGCTTCCACATTTGTTTCCAGAGTAGCCCTCACCAATCAAGTGGTTACATGTCCCCCCAAAACTACAGAATTTATAATTTGGAAATATGAAATAGAACTTGCAATGTGATCTTAGTGGCTGGGTCACTTATCTTTGCAAGGATTTTTATCTGATTGTAAAACAAATGGGCTACTTCTTCAAGGCATATTAATGCTATGAAATCATGTTCCACCTTTGCCCCCTTTCATGTCAGCAGGAGCTTAGGGAAGGTATGACAGACAGTTCCTTTCTGCCAATGCATTTCTGGCCTTCACTTCAAGAGAAGGCTATTTAATTTTCTCTGGGCATGTAAGTAGAACTTTGATGGTGCTTCTTACTATTATATTTTTGGGTCTGCATGATGCTTTACAGTGAATCTGAAACCTTTGGAGGAAAGATCTCAAGAGTCCTTGACCTTTGCTGGGTTCTAAAATTATAGTGTGGAAATTAAATAAAAAGAAGTTTGTGTCTTCTTCATGAAATTTTTTTTGGGGTGAGATTTCAGGACCAAATGTTGCTTACTGAGGGAGAGCTGTCCCCTACCCACCGTGACCCCGGAGAGCAGCTGTCAGCCCTACAGGCTGAGAACAGAGCTTTGCCGTGGTGATCTCAGCTGGTTGAAATGCTGCCTTGTGCCCATATAGGCTGCTTCTGTGCATCTCCAGAGGAGCTGCAGTCTTAATGGGGTCCAAGAAGTTTTCCCCTTGCTTCTTGGGGTCTCAAAAAAGAAGCAAAATGATTCAACCAGCAAAGCAAAGGCCTGAGAAACATTTGCAGCCAACAGATCCTGGAATTTTGTGTAGCCTTTTGTTTCGTGCTGTTTACAAGGGGACCAGTTAGGAACCCTGGGTTAAACACTTTGACAGATCTATCCTGAAGAGCAAAAATAGCAAATGACAGGCTATGACCGGGGGATTGACTTTGAGGGCAGGCTGGATTTGTGAAATGAGAATCAAAAAAGTTTTCGCCTTGGAGCCCACAGGTTAAATTACTGAAAATCAATCACCATCATCATCTCTACCCTCTTGTGTTTACTCTTACTCTGGAGAGTAATCTAACTCATCATTTGCAATCAGGGCCTCCGAGTTCTGTTTGTGTTTGCTTTTGCTCTTTGCTTTGCTACTCGTCCGGCTGTTTGTCTTCGCATCTGACATTTGTTGGTAATAGAAGCCTTTGTCTTCCGCMGGCCCGCCCCAGTCCTCCTGGCTCTCGCCCTCAGTGGCGTAGGAGAAACCGTCCTCCACCGAGAAGGGCTCATCCATATCGTAGCGCTGGTACGTGCTTTGATGCAGAGCCTCCTCGCGGGCACTGATTTCCAGGGTGCTGTTCCAGATGCCATACCCAAAGTAGATGAGCACACCTGTGGAGGAAAGCACAGGCGAATAAGAAGTTGCTTGGGGAATCCAGGGCACTAGCAGGGGAATCACCCTCGGCGAAACCAGAGCAGGAAGCGATATGTATTCTTGGATCTGTGGAGTGTCTAGAATTAGATGCTATTTAAAAATTAGGAGATTTTGATAGGGTGTGGTGGCGCATGCCTGTAATCCCAGCGATTCAGGAGACTGAGGCAAGAAGATCGCCAAGTTCAAGGCCAGGCTGGGCAATTTAGAAAGACCCTGTCTTGCAATAAAAAGGGCTGGGAATGTAGCTCAGGGGTAGAGTGCCCCTGATCATTCCCTAGTAGGGGAAGGGGTTGGGGGTGATCTTGCTATAAGCATATTACAGCTTCCCTATGGTCAAAAAATCTGACAACATTGCACCCGCATTCCTATGTGGCAATTTTTGGCTAGAGGTGAGAACTAGCTGCCTTTTAGACAGGATACAGACCCACTTCCCTTGCTGAYATCCAGTTCATTACTGTCCTATAGCTGCTAGCCAGGAATTTGCATTTTCTGGCCTGGGTTAAATATTTATGGATCAGCAACAGTATATTCCCAACCTTCTCATAACATGTTATTATCCCTTGCCTTCACTTAGGGACTCCGTCTCTTGTTTCATGGCTTAGCAACATGTATGAATCATTTTATTTCTTATCTTACCATTTGTCAACTTGCCAATAACATAATACATTGCTGCCCTCCAAGTTGCCCACTTTCTTTTATGGGCTCTCAGAGTGTCTAGTGCACAGCACTTCTGTGGCCCTTAGAACATGGGTTGTGTGATTATCAGCACAGGGTGGTTCTGTTTTATAGGCTGCAGAAAACTGGCACTCAATGTTTGCTAAATGAATGAATGAGAATTCCTGATGAGCATGAAATGCCCAGCGCAACTTCTCTGTGTGGACGTCATTCCATCCAAAGGGAATTTACCTCCCCTATAGGCTCATGCTTCATTTCTATGATCTTTTTGGAGTAATATGATAATATAGTTTGAGAGCCCCCATCTTCCACTTTGAAAGGCCCATGAGAACCAGAGTGGTGGCAGCCGTAGGGCAGGAGGAATGAGAGTGTGGGCTCCATGTTCAGTATCCTGCCTCTATCACTGYTAACTGTGCAACCCTGGGCTGTTACTCAACCTTTCAGGTTTCTGTTGTGTAAAACCACGAGAGTCAGAGCAACTGTATAAAGTGGGACTGCTTGAGGATGAAATGAGTTAAGTGATAAGCCTCAACCCTGCTTGCGCTGGAGAGTCACTTGGGGGAGTTTTTGAACAACTCTGATACCCAAGCCCCATCCTTGGAATTTGGATTTAATTGATTTTCAGTATGACCCCAATGTAGTTTTTTTTCTTGGTACTGGGATTGAACCCAGGGGTGCTTTACTACTGAGCTATATCCCCAGCTCTTTTATTTCTTATTTTGAGACAGACAGGGTCTTGTTAAGTTGCCAGGACTGGCAYTGAACTTGCAATCCTCCTGTCTCAGTCTCCTGAGCTGCTGAGATTATAAACGTGCAGCACTGTACCTGGCTCATAGTTAAGTATTTTTTTAAAATATTTTTTTTGTAGTTGTAGATGGACACAATATCTTTATTTGATTTGTTTCATTTTTATGTGGTGCTAAGGATTGAACACAGTGCCTTACACATGCTAGGCAAGTGCTCTGCCACTGAGCTACAGCCCTCATAGTTAAGCTTTTTAAATCTTCACAGGTTATTTCATTGACCAGGCTGAGAACCCCTGGGACAAATTGCCTGATGCATATTCTCTACTAGCAGGGCCCTGCCACTTGGGTCCACCAGTCATGCAACCTCTTTCAGACCCTCAACGCCCTCTTCTAAGTGGCACTGGCTCCTTTGACTTTGCTAACCCTTGCTCCTTTGTGGTATCTGCTTGGTTGTTTGTACAGAACCACAAGTTAATCCTGCTTTCCTGTACTGGGCTTGAGAATCTTGCTCCCTTTTGCATCGAAAGTATGTCTTTTTAAGCTTGGATTTCTCCCTCCTTGTCTCAAATGACATTTCCCCTTCCTCCTCCCCAGTGCTCCCCCCAACACCCCCCCAGTGAAATAAACTTTCCAGGAGCCAAAGTAAGCAGAGATTTATAGTCCTAATTGGTAATAAATCCTAGAGTTAATCATTTGCAGATGTAGCTATTACTGCTCAAATAGCAACTTCATCTTTTTGAGCATGGGTCTTTACTCTTTCTTGTCTGGTGGGGGGTGGACATGGGAGGTAGTTATTATTCTTGTGAAGAACAAGGCATCAYATTAAAGCTTATTCAAAAGGGCCAATGGGCCAGTTCTTGGAGAATGCCTGTTTGAAGCATGTCTGGGACCTGAAATGAATTTTAAGTGACCAAGTGGGACCAGCAGGCACATACCTTGTTTTACCTGATTTTGCTCTTTTGCTATCTTTTTTTCTAGATATCTAGGCAGGTGCCAAATCTTACCGCCTACTCCTGCTTGGTATCTATTATGCCATTTCTTTTCTTTCTGATCCCTTACTCTGACCCTATTTATAGATGGGTCATTTTCCTTTCGAACTGACTACAATTTACSCCTTTCCCCTAATTTTCCTCTTCTGCCACTACATAGGCACTACAGAACTCCATCACTGGTAGACACCTATTTMTTTTTTCTTTTTAAAATTTATTTCTTACATACATGACAATAATGGAATGCATTAYATTCATAATTATCCATTCACACCTATTTCTAAAAAGCCTTTCCCTTACCCCCACCTGGAGTGGGAATTCCTCTGGGAATTATCTAAAAAACGGTGGTGTGATTGCTTATAGAATAGACGCTTGAGTGGAAAGGATCATATAAGTCATCTATGTATTTTAATGTCTTCACTTAACAGAAGAAACAGACTGGCCAACATGAAGTGACATGCCCAGGCTCCTACAGGGACAGAACTGGCCTTCCCTATGGGTAAGGTCTTTTTCATATGTAATCTTTCACACTTCTCTTCCCCAACCTGTCTTATAAACATGCTTATTGCAGTAAATATTCAGTAAATGCTTAGGTGTTYTTTGGGAGTAGCCAGGCCTGGGAGGAGCATGTTTGTGCACATGCATGTGTGYTTGTGTTTGTGTGTGTGTGTGTGTACAGACCACGATTACTCTGGAGAAGGCAACCCATGGAGACCTGCTCCATAAATATTTATGGGTCTTTTAATGTTTTTCCAGTTCCAAAGGTGTGTCACTCTGTCTTCAAAAATACAATTCAAATATGGAACTAAGAAGCGCCTGCGTGAGGCAGCCTGAAGGAACAATCCGTCAGTCGGCTCAGGCAGAGCCATTTTCCCAGGTCTTGGCATTTTGTCCTTTCTGCTGGTTCTTGAATCAATTCGGGAAAAGTAGTATGAAGCAGAGGARGGGAGAAAAGGAATATTGGAGATGGACAAAGAAACAGAAGGGAGCAAATGAAGGGAGTGAGGGAGGGAGGGAGAGAGGAGAGAAACGGGCTCTACCATCTGTCACACATAAACAAGGGCTTTGTGTGAGGAGTAAACAGCGCTGCTAAAAGCCTCCTGTGTGGAAGCAGGGTGTTTTGTTTCTGCTCCTCTTTTTTTTTTTTTTCCCACTTGGCTTGGAGAACTGTGCATGAGGTAGCTTCTGAAAAATCTGCCGGATTCTGGGAAACCTGAATTATCTAAACTAAACTTCACACAACACCTGTGTGCTGAAGCTTTCTAATCATGGCAGTGATGCTGCCCCTCTCTCCTGGGGAGCTTGAAATGTTACACAAACACTGTCTTGTTTAGACTCCATCTGGCCTGTTTGGGAAGGTGTGATGTGTGTGTGTGTGTGTGTGTGTGTGTGTGTGTGTGTGTGTGTTATGGGGGAGGTGGTCATTATGAACATCTCACAGACAGGAAACTGGTGGGCAGGAAAATTAAGGGGCTATCCCCAGCAATGTGGTGAGAGACTGGACCATAAATCCTTCCAGGTCCTCGTGCCCTAACACAGGGGGCTTGGCCCTCTCATTTCTCCCATTGGCCAGAGGAGGCTCTGAGGTACATATTGATGGGAAACAATTTTGCACTTTCAAACATATAGGAAAGGGTGATGAATGGTATAATGAGTCCCATGTCCCCTCCTGCCTGCTTCTCTTTAGGTTATTTTGAAACAAGTCCCTTCTATCATGGGTTTCATCTGTAAATATTTCAGTATCTTTAAAAATAGGTTCCTTTGAAGACCACTATTTAGAATCATTACCATATCTAAAAATTAGTAATAATTTCTTAAAATTCTCTATTATCAGTAGTATTAAAATTTCTCCCAATTACTACACATGTAGGGGAAAACTTTCCACCTTATGAGCCTACACACTTGTTCTACCAATGCTATCATTACTTGAAATAGTTTTTGGGTACTGTTATTTAAGAAAGTCATTGGTCCTGGCATCGTATTCTCCTGTGAACCCTTACAGATAGCCAAGTTTTATCTTTTGAGGGTAGATTTGATTATCAGCATAAAACAGAAGTGGAAGCAAGCTTCAGGAATAAGGTAGCTAATTAAAAAAATAAGCTTTTTTTTGGTTCTACCTCAGTATTGTGTTCTACCTGTTCTTATCTACTTTGATCTATTGCTTTGCAATTACACATCTTCTATTAGTAATGAATTATTTAAAGTAGGTGTGGTGCTAAAAATCAGAAGGGAGTAGGCTTTTGTGTTGTAGCAGGGTCTGGAGGCCTCCCTGTTGGGCTGCAGTGGTTTTCTTAGTTGTTGGGTTACATAGGGTGCGGTCAGGGCAGTGAGCCCAGAAACGCATCAGCATTTTAACAACAGCCAGGGCTGCACCGGGGCTCACCGGGCGAGTGCCAGCCCTGGTGGGGGTTCTGGCAGTGGATCCTGTGAAAGGCTGCAGTGAAGGGGGGGATATTCAAAGGGAGGCTTTGGCTTCTTTTCCAGGCAGAAGTTCCCTGGTGRAGAATGTACCTATGGGAGGTTCAGGTTAGACAGGATAAAGAACCA